AAAGCAGAAACAAAATGAAAATGCGCTGCAAATTAAAAAACGCAAACAAAAGAAAAAGCAGAAACAAAATCAAAATGCGCTGCAAATTAAAAAACGCAAACAAAAGAAAAAGCAGAAACAAAATCAAAATGCGCTGCAAATTAAAAAACGCAAACAAAAGAAAAAGCAGAAACAAAATCAAAATGCGCTGCAAGTAGACGATCCCAAACCGGAAGTGCTCCACGACGCTAGGGGGTGCAGTGAGCTCAGTTTGCAAAAGCAAAAGCATGATGGTCTTTGTGAACAACCTCGAGTTGGACACTGTTGTGCATGTTTTCCTTGTGACCCATAAGCTCAAAAAAGGGAAGGTTGGAAAAGAACAACACTCTAAGGGGAAGGTAATTAACCAAAATATTTTTGTATGTTTGATTTTGTAAGGCGTGTTTGTGAATATTACACATAACATCAAAGTTTTAATTAACCAGATCTGAGTAAGCCGTATTGGTTAGCATTAATAAGTAGCCCCACTCGGGATTAACTAACTTTAATTTAAATGCTTGGTTAATGGCGGAGGGTGCAAATGTGACTCTTAGGTGAACTAGAGGGAAGTGTTTTAAAACGACAAATGTTAAGTATGAAAACGCTATGTTTTTGTATTAAATGTTAAGTTGCAGTTTAATGGTAATAAAAGGCTATGCGTTTATGTACTGTGAAGATTAGAATAGCCAAACTACCAGAAAAAAAGATTTAATTTATTAGTTCTAATATTTGCATTTGAGTAATTTATTGGAAAACGTTGTCATGAGCAAATACAAGTAATTGCAAGAAAGGTTGCAAAAACTTCAGTGTAAGGTAGGGCTGCACGATTAATCACAATCGTGATGTTTGTGCGATTATATGAACGCAAAATGCTGCGATTTAAATTATTAGTACATGAATCGAAGCGACAAACTTATATCCCATTCATTCAAAGTTTACCAGCAGACTAAAATGAGGCTGGCTCCTCATTTTATTAGCATAAAAAACAGCTGTATAACAAATTTTCTGTAACCTGTTAACTTGGCCAGGTGAAGCCTCTGTCCACTTATTTAGCTCAACTGTTCTAATATTGTTGGTTCTGTTAACGACCTGACGCTGCTCACACAGCCTCTCTCACTCCTGAAGTTATCGGCAGGGCATCACCTGTTTGCTCTCTGATCAAATGTGATGTTTCAAGCAGCGACTTTTCACTCTTCCTCAACATAATTCACAGTTGAATTAATGCAGTGGTTCTCAGTCGGTTCTCTGGCCCCACTGCCCTGCTGGTTTCCCTGCTATCCTTGCCCCACACACAAGTCCCAGCTGTCTTTCAGCTTCTGATTGACTGAACACACCTGATCCAGGTAATCAGCAGTGTGTAGGGCAGGGATAACAGGAAAACCAGCAGGGCAGTGGGGCCAGAGGAGTGAGTTTGAGAACCACTGAACTAATGTATGGTTCAGTCGTCCTGTTAGACCACAGCAGCACAGAGCACAACAACGGCCCATAATGATGAATGCATGATAATTTTCTCTGCCTTTGTTGATCAGTGTGCGACTATAACTTTGCTCTCAGTGAAGTTGACTTTATTTTCTATGTTATTGTGGTCACACTTAGAAACCATAATGTATTTTTCACTATCCATATTCAGAAAAATTGAGAACAATGAAACGTGAGAAGTGCCCAATGCTGTGTGAACAGCAGCAGCAGCGAAGTGCAGAGACTTACTGTTATTAACATGCCTCCAAAACCAAACTTCACAGTATTATAACAACAGTAACCTGAACTCTGCAGAGTAATGATGAAGGTCTCAGGACATCTGTATCATTAACTGCAGAAAAATAAAATGATCTAAATAATTGCATTATGACTATTTTCCCAAATCGTGCAGTCCTAGTGTAAAGTTACTACAAGTTGTGCATATCTGTGTGTACATACAGGTAAGATGTTAAATACTAAAGAGACACTTGGTTCTTTTTTCAGAGAGTTTTGGTGAACATTGACTTTGTAAAATACATTATTGTCATTTGATTATTTTTACAGATGTACTGTCCCTTCTGTGGACACGTCTTGATGGATAGCCCTGCTTTTTGTAGCCTGTGTGGCAAAAACATAAAATTTTTAAAGGACATCACCAGCAATGTGACCAGAAATTCTGCTGTTGAAGAGGCAGCAGCTGTTGCATCGTCCAGTTCCACTGTACTGACCAGCACAAGCAAACAGTCTAGTTATGGTAAAAAGATCTCTCATATATATATATTATTATTTTTATTTTTTCTAAAATGGTAGCAAGTCCTCTCCCTAAAATGACAATAACTTACTTTATCTATTTCTGGTTAAAGCCGGGAAATCAGTTGTGGAGTCATTTATGCAGTTTAGGGATGTGAAAGAAAGGGAGAGAAAGTCATTCTTTTCAAAGAAACATCAGGGACAGAAGGAACAGAAAACAGTTAAGGTATGTTGTAAACTTGAAAGTGGGAGGTTGATTACTTCTGTTGCTACTCTGAAGTCCAAATTATTTGTAGCCCTGCCAAGTCATCACTGGTTGTATAGATATAAAAGGAACATTAAATAGGGCAATGGTGGCCAACTTCAGTCCTCTACAGCTGCAGCCCTGCATTTTATTCCAACTATCTCTGCTATATCCAGTGCTGCCTGGATGCGGTGTCCTCAGTCACTCAGAAGCTGATACATAAGGGTTCTGCAGTAATACTAGCAAAAACATGCTGGGCTGCAGCTCTTGAATTTTGGAGGTGACCACTGATATAGGGCTTAAAATGATGATGAACCTTAGTCTGAATTTCTTCAGTGTCAGTACTTGATAGCATTCCCTCAATGATATATGTCCCCTGTTAGAACAAAATTTAAAAAATTATATGAAAGAGTGCAGAGTATTCAGGAGCAATGTTTTAATTCTAGTTAATCTCATTTCTAGATTCACATTGGCATCATGAAAAGGACCAGTGATGGTGTTAAATCTGTCAGAGGAAAGATACTTCCTCTTGAAGTTCAGTCTCACTGGTCATCAGAGCAAATCCTGGCTGCCAGTGTGAAAAAACATAAGGACTTTAACCAGGACATGGAAGATGAACCCTATGTACTGCTATACCCTGATGCAAGGGAAGTTAGCACAGTTCCTGGAACCAATAGCCCTTTCACCGTCAAAGAATACAAAGATGCCCTAGGGAAACCCTATCAAAGAATAACTCTGTACATTTGTAGCCATGAGGACTTCTTTAATACTGGTAAGTGATTCTCATGGTGCATTAATGATCATAAAAATACTACAACCCTGTAACATAATATGCTTTATTTTGTCTTACAATTTAAATTGAAGAGTCATAGTATTCAAAGGAACAAGTGTGGCAATTTACTGTACAGTGATCATTTAATCATTGACGAGGAATGTTTCCGACGGCATTCTTGTGTTGCTGTTGATTCATTAAGGGTTTCTCCTTCACCATCAACTTTTTTGGAGGGTGGTTCACATGGATTGCACTATTCAGTTTACCAGGTTATTGTTTTGACTCTAACATTGTAAGGCCAGTAGTATTGGCTCCTATTCTGTCATTTTTACTATATTGCTTTCAGGGACATGTAGGTTTAGCAGATTTCACTTGAAATTTAATATTTTCATTTTAATTTAATTGCTGCATGTTGAAAGGTTTCATATATATTTTCTAATTGTTAAATATATCTTCCAGTACATACATTTTAAGTAGGCTTGTCTTTTTATGCTTTATTTTCTGCAGATTGCAACACAGAGTTGGGGTCTGAAGAAGACAGCGTGGTTCAGGTTAAAACAGTAGGAAGTCCACTTTCTGACACTGTGGTTAGTTGTTATATATATTGACCAAGGGTCAATTAATGTTTATATATTAAAAGATACTAACATTAAAACACACACACATGCATACGTTTGTGTGTGTAGATATGTATAGATGAGAAGTTTCTTCTCTACTGCTAAGCCACTTCTATTAATTATCAGGTATGGGACTTTCCAAATAATCACAGCACCCCAGAAACGGCAAATTCAAGAAATAGGTACATTTTGTATTGTCAACATTTATGTAAAAATACCACTATGTACTATAACTGAAAACCTAACCACTTTAATTCTTCACAGGGCATCGAGTAATGTCCAACCTTTGTCTGAGGTAAGAGTCTGAAGCAAAAAAATATTGTTCAGGCTACTGGCATGTAAACGATATTAACTGTCATATTCTTTTATTTTTAGAGTCAAGGTGACTGCTACAGGTAGGTTTTGGTCACAAAAATTACTGAATAGATGATGTTGGTCTTGTTAAGACACTATACATGAACAAAATTTCAGGTAACTTCAGGCTGTGTAAAACTTACTACTTTGCCACTTAAGGATTAGCCGTTTTTTAGCCCTGTTAAAATACAAATATTGTTTTTTTTTATAAAAATAGTATGAATTAATAAATTCTAATGTAACATTATAGGTTGACCACCTGACAGTGCATAACGTGGTGCCATAATTTCTATAACTACATGTAACAACATTGTTTTCTTATTACTTTTGCTTTGTATGGAACTGTGTAGCTGCAGACTGCTCAGGGTGACCACCAGTGTTGTGTTAATGTTTGGTCTCTCCCTCTCTGAATATATGTTCATTAATGGGAAAGGTTCTATTGAAGTCACGTTTTTGAATTATTTTCCTAAATGTCTTTCATTACAGCAAATATACAAGTGTTTATGCACCCATTGTAATTGATAGTGACTCTGATCAAGAAGTTCTCATTGACAATGATGACGAGGAAACACACAGGTTAGTATAGGTTTTATTGTTAAAAGATAAATATGCTAAAACTGAGTAAAAACTTCTTGCATTTGTGTTAATTTATATTTTGATATTTTCCAGCACTAATGGCCTAACTGCTGCAGATGTTCTTGAAGAGCTGGCCTCAAAGATAAACAAAAAATCTGTCAGCAGATTTAATATAAACAGGGCAAATGTTTGGGATGGAGCAGCTCGGGGCTTTAGACGTGTATCTTACAACCCAGCAGATGACATACTTGTCAAGTTTAGCGATGACACTGGACAGCATGAAGATGGAATGGATAATGGTGGTCCTAAACGTGAATTCTTGACTTTATTAATGAAATGTCTTCGATCACGACGGATCTTTGATGGACCTGAAGACAGCAAGTTTCTCACATTTGACAGTGCCGGTAAGAAATGTATACCATGTGAAATTTAAAACATGAAATAAACATGTTAAAAGTGTTGATGTGGAAGTACTTTTGAAATTAAAAAGTAATTAAATTTGAAGTTCTATTTATTGCATAAATAAACAAATCCATCAACAGCTGCAAGAGAGGATGAATACTTCCTTGCTGGCAGAATGATTGCCTCATCAGTGGTCCATGGTGGGCCTGGGCCTGCCTTCCTCTCCAAGACACTCTACCAGCATCTGATTGGGACAACAAAGTCTGATGTTGAGGTCACCATTGAAGATATAACTGATGAAGCTACAAAAGCTTTTCTGTTGGAAGTATGTTCATTTCAGCAAACTACATGCTGTTTTAGCCCTCTCAAATCTTGATGTTTAAACATCGAAAAGGTCATCCATCAACATGTCTAAGTTAATGTTTTTAGTGTCATGTCACTACTTTAACATAACATCCAGTTAAATTACTATGCTTAAAAAGTCTTTTAATTGATGGGGAAACTACACTTTTTACCGGAGGGAAACCTTGTGATGCTAGTGTCTTTCTTTTTCTTTCACTAGATATCAAATGCTGCAACACTGAAGGAACTTCAAGAGTACATTGAGAAACATTCCAGCCTCTTGCAGACAGCCGGGTGCTATGGATTTCCTGACAGTTTAGATGGTAAAGAAAAGATCATTAAGGACTACCTTCAGTGGTACATCATATACCGCAACCACTTCTCAATACAAAGGTAACGTATTCTCACTACTCTGACCTTAAGTCATTGTTGCCATGTTGATTTATATTTTATATGCTCGAATTATGAGGACTTTTTATAGTATTCATAACTGCTTTGTAAAAATTTCTATTTAGGGATTTGTCAACCTATAAAACCTCAGAGATGAATCCCATTACCCAAAACACCTCCCTGGTCTGCCTATCCATGTTTTGAGATATGATTGGCACAGCTGCTTTAAACAATATGGAACCAGTAATATGAGGCTGTGAGGACAAATATCAAGAGTCTGAATTATAACCACACATTCTATGCAAATTCTGATTAGTTTGCTAAATGCACTTAATGAATCAAAATGCAAATACAAAAAAGACATTTATGTAAAGGTAACACAGCTTTTGTTTCATCACTACTTTTTGTTTCATTTTGTTGTTATTGGTTCATTTTAGTAGAGGCCCTAAGTACCGGTTGTTTTGCGAACAAGCTTAACATATATATGTAAAGTTTCTATTTTATTAAATTTTCCCTTTCAAATAATCCATGCCCTGCGCTATGATCGACATGAAATCAGAAATTATTGCATAAACATTTCTATAAATCATACTAAACTAAATTTATATCTTCCTGATTCTTTACACACCTCCATGTTAATCATAGAAACTATACAACATGCAAATTAAAAGTAAAGTTAGTAGCATAAATAATATATTGTTGAAAGGCTACAAGTATAAAAATGGATTAATAAGATGAGGTAATGAATGCCTACTCTCATTGCTCTGGCATTATGCTTTAGAGAATAATTGAATTATACATGAAAGGATTTATACACAGGTTTTTATTGTAGTGCTAGGTCAAGCATAAGCTGTGTTTCTGCATACTGTTTCTGCAGTAACAACGTCTGTAACATAAATTTGTCATATTAGCAACTTTTTTCTCTTAGATTCAAGGAAGGCCTTGCAACACTTGGTGTCATCCATGCCCTGCAGCAGCATTCGTTCTTGTTTCAGCCCTTCATGTGCTCAAGGGCAGAGCCGCTGACTTCTGCTATATTGGAGGACGTTTTTTCAGTTGTGCTGAGTGAACCTGGCAGTTCACGGCGACACGAAGAGAACAGAGTGCTTGGGTACTGGAGAGACTATCTGATTGACTCGGAAGGTTTGTGCAATACTGTGTTTTTAGACCAATCTTTTTGGGGCGGCAAGTGGCTCAGTGGGTCGAGCACTCGTCTACAAACCTGAAGGAGAGTGGTTAGATACAGTCCTGCTAAGCTACATGTTGAGGTGGCCCTGGGTCAAGACACCAAAACCCCATAGTAAGCGCTGACATGTACGGTTTGGCAGCAGTCCAAACAATTTTCCAAAGAGGGTCAATAAAGTATCGATTATTATTATCCACATTGGATACACCTGTGCAATCCAAAACAGCAGCCCTGCCATGAATTCTACTTTTACAAGGTTAAAATTTCTTAGTTTAAGTTGAAACTGTCAAAATGATTATTTCTGTTATAGAATAGAAGCAATATTGTCATCATTGAGCACAAATACATGTTGCACATTTGTTACAATGAATTTATTTCTCTGCATTTCAACCATCCCTTGCGGGAGGGGTGGGTTGTGTGTTTATGGAGGTGGTGGAGTCATACTAGAGTGAAATATATCAATGTTTTGGCTCCGTATTTAAGATGAATGAGGGGGCAAAAACATTACAACCACCTCTTAATATAACACTCCATTATGACTCCACCACCTACTATGACCTCAATAATAAACACATAGTACAATTATCACCTTTATGACCGTTTCAACTCAAAAACTGAGAAATTATGACTTTGTAAAAGTAGAATTCATGGTGCAGCTGCTATATTGGATTGAATTAGATTGTAGAGGTGTAGGTGTTCATGTTCTATACATGGAAAAAAAACCTAATTTGAACAATTGCTTTTCCCATCTGCTACTCTGAATCTGAAATGTCAGGATAGTAGGTTATTGGAGACAATAATTAGAGGCTCCACCTCACTTTTACTCTAGTGCAGTTTCTTTTAATAAACCTTAAGATGTTTCTTTGCAACTGTCTAACAATTTTAAGTGAATTTAGATATCAAATATCTTGTTATACACTTTACATGGTAGCTTTGCAGCAGTATAGTTAAGAATGATTTGGATCTCACAAAACTGAATTATATTTGCATTGGAACTTCTATTTCTTTGTATTTCATTTTAGATAACAAAACGGCAGTCTCCCTGCAAGAACTCCTGATGTTTGCGACAGGCTTAAACAGCATTCCACCAGCTGGAATGGAACCCAAACCCAGATTGCTCTTCGATCACTCATCTCGTTTTCCACTTGGGAAAACATGTGCAAACACCATAGCAATTCCAGTGGCTCAGTCATATGACCAGTTCCAGGCTGACATGGACTTTGCAATTCTTAACTCTCCTGGTTTTGGCCTGTATTGATTGCTTGGGTCCTGTACAATATGATGCTTGCATCTTGATTTGTTTATTACGACTGCATTGTCGTAAGTCTTACAGTAAATGTGTTTAAAGTTGTCGGTCAGTAAGAGGCTAGATATCCCTTTTGGTTACTGTCTAAAAAATAAAAAAGGGACGGCAAATTTTATTAGTTTCCTTCTGGCACCATGGCTTTACAAAGAAATACTTTTGCACATCTGTTGTCGTGTCAGTACAAACTACTTGGACTGATGGTTAAGGTTTGCAATAAATGTGTTCTGGTTTTCAATTTGTCTAGCAATCTGATAAAGTTAATACAACCAAGTTTCTTCCACTTCTGCATTTTAAGTTTATTTAATTCTGCCAATCTTGACAATATCATCTGGCAGCAAAATAATGTATTTGATCCCACTGTAATCAAGTAACTAAAATGTGAAAAAACAATGAGTCTTTAGCTTTAACCAAAGTGTATGTGTTGCCTAATCTTAACCACATACAGGACTCCGTGGTTTAATTCCAGTTTTCAAAAATGTGTGGAAACCTTGGTGTTACAAATCAGCAAGTGTTTTCAGTCTGATGTAGTTCTCCACACAAGATTCCCAGGTCTGAGGTGGAGTGAAACCATTGTATAGTTCTTCAAAACATTCCTGTAGGTGAGGGTCTCCACAGAAATGTTGAGTTGATTCCATCTGGAACTGGCTCAGCTCTTGCTGTACAACTTCAAGGCCACAGTTGCGTCCTCCAAACCTAGAAGTTAAATGTACAAGGAAATTTTTAATCTTCAAGTATAATGAAAATGCTACAGTATCCTTGTTACTGCAGGGCCATAGAAATTATGCTTAAAGTGAATGTATGCAATTTCATGAGACCACCAACCACATTATGGTACTGAGTTAGTGCAACCTCTGTTGTGTGAACTCAAGCTTTTCAGGTTTTTCTGAGAGCGTATATGCAGACCATTTACCGTGCTTTTCCACCACACAAAGTACGGTACATTTGGTACGGTACTTTCGCTTTTCCATTGACTTCCGGTCGAGTACCAGTACCGAAATCTCGAGTACCGATTGTGCCAAACCAGTTGGGGTACTTTTTTTGATACTTTGGGGTGGGACTTGCAAACGTATTTGCTGTCGATTGGTTATGCAAATACCCTGCCGCTGAAACACAAAATACAACCGCCATCTTTTGAAACACACAGCGAACAGCGAGAAACAAAATAGATCCAGTGGGATTTGGATGGCACGACTTGAAATAAAGTTTTTGCTGTTCGGGGCAATTCAGTTTTCCTATGTTTCCCCTGTCGCGCGCTGATTTGTACACGGTTTAGCTGTTGTTTTCATGTCTTTTTACGAAGCTCTTGAAGTAAACAAGCCATATATTTTAAAACATCATATGCCTTTCGATGTTTTTTTGTTTTTACAGATAAATGAAATGACTTAATTCGCTGGTTAGAGATATTTCTTGATGAAAACGTATTGCTTAAAAGACTATATTATGCTTGACGATCTACTGTATTCACATGTAATAATGTACCCGAGTGATTTTCAGACATCTCACATACCTCTTTGCTTTAATATTAGGGGAAACATTATTTCCTGATAGACAGGAGAAACATAGGGAAACTGAATTGCCCGGAACACCGTAATACCAAGCCGCTTGGAAGAAATTAGGCACACGCTAAACACCGAACAATGCCGCGCTGAAAATCAAAATAACATTAAATAATTTGTTTGCTTTCAAAAGACTGAATTAGCAGTATGCTAATTCTTACTGCCTTGATCGGCTTACTGAATCTTATACTGTGACAGAAGCTGACATAACATGACATAACAATAAACAGCATTTTCTAGCCTAAACTGTTAGTTTTGATTTTGTGCTTTTTAAAAAAAAAAAAAATGATTAAGCTGCGCTTTGTGACGATGTCAGTCAGGGGCGGTCACTAATGATGTCATTTGGCGCTGGTACCATTTTTTTTACGCCAGTGGAAAACCGACACGAAAGTAGTACCATACTTTCGGCACTTTATGGAAGTACCGAAAGTACGGTACCTGGTGCGGTGGAAAAACGCCCTTAGATAAAGTGCATAGGTTAAAAAAGTGACATGAAATGTACATTCTGTGAAAACTTTAAATTACAGAATTTTCAGGAATTTGTAATTGACAAAGTAACATATACCTATGAGGCAGGTCATACATCACATCAGATTTACCAGATGGACAGCGTGACTGGCTAACAGGGCGGATCATGTGGGTGTTCCATTTTCTTTTGCATTCATCCAGATCCCTTTGAAGCACAGCCATGAAAATGAAGCGCACCAAGCACATGTGTGCATGACTACCATTGTAGAGGTGTCTTTCCCTCATGTCACTGAAAAGGTCCATCCAGAATTGTGACCTGAAAATCACAAACATACTGTCAAGTGACAAAGCACCAGCCTTCAATACATTACAATTTTTAATGTTACAGCATAACAGCATACATTTTGGATTGTACATTTGAGATGTATTACTTTTAGGTCATTGTAATATAAAATGGACTTCAAAAAGGTAGTATTTATAGAAAGGCTGCTAAAATGTATCATAATACAGTTTTTCTGTGAATACTTAAAATGCTTTGTTAAAGGCATTTACAAATATGATAGACTGTACATTGCTAAATATCATGTACTATATATTCTACTACTGCTTTCACTCAGGATGACAGAGGACTCATTCACAGGTATTGATGCCATTAACCTATGGTTTCAAACTATCAGTGATAAGAACAATACAATAATTAGTGTGCTACTTAAAGTATAAGCAGTGATTTTCTCACTGATCAGACCATAAATTTTTTTTGAAAGTGTTAATTTTCTTCCTACCAAAGTTATGTGATGCCTACACATACTTTGTTTAATTAACAGATATTGTTTTAAACTTTCAATGACACCATTTACTATGCACTTTTCCCAAATGGTACTTTTTGGCTGAGACTAACATTTATTCAAATTTATTCATTGAGGATTACAGTTTATATTTTGTAGCTTTTGCTTTCATGTAAGTGAACTGAAGGGCCAGATAGTAAAAGTGGATAGATGAAGGTAAGGTGGTGTGACATGCAGCAAAAGCTTGAGCATCACTGATTAAGTGTTACAGCATCTGGGCTAACAGTCTGGTTATTGCAGTGGTTTGTGACAACTATTTAAAACGTACCGCTGTTTTCTGAAGTACGACCACCAGCTTTCAATTCTTTGGTTTGATGTTGAAGAACCATACATATGACTGGCAGCTCCTGCAAACAAATCCTGATGAGATGACCGTAAGGCACATTGCATTGCTGCCATTGTACCATTTTCAGTGCCACAGTCTGTGCGAAGCCGCAGTGGTATGACTCCAAACTCTGAAGCACATTGAAGGTAGTGTTGAGCTATGACTTCTGGGTTGTTGTTAGTTGCTCCACAAACCAACCATAATACCTTCCGGGAATAGCCATCAATACAACCACTGATAGCCAAACCATATGGCTTTAATTTGTCATAGCCATCAACATGCCAAGTATGGTTTGGTCCAGGTGAATCATATACTCTTCTTACAAACCTTTGTCTGGAGCGATTTCTAACTCCAGACGGGTTGAGCTCTGCCATTATTACCATGACATCATGCCTTTTCACTGAAAGACAGTGTTTCTGATACAATGTCTGCCGCATTGAACGGTAACCATAATGTTGCCCAGGTCCCTTCAGCTCTTCCATTATTGCAGCACGAACCAAGGGTAGAAGTGAATAATGTCTTTTGCGGGACAGTGACAAACTTTTAAATTTTGATTTCAGTGTGGTGAGACTAATCTTCTGCTTGTGTTTTGATGCCAAAACGTCCAAAATTTCATTATAGGAATAACCATCTCTGAAATATTTCTGAATGAGATCTTCTTTTGAAATGTTTTGTAGAAATGGCTCTGATAAAATAGAAAAAAGGTGTTACACTAGATCAACAGTGAGCTGTGCAGTTGAAACTAAATATAACATTTTCAATCATAAGTATAGTCTCATTATTAGCAAACCAAATAAATATGCTGCTTCCCTGTTGTTAAAGAGATTCACCTTTCAAATGTTCTGAAATTAGTAGCCAGGCCTACAACTACAACTTGCTGGTTTAAATGATATCCAGTGGGCTTGTGGGTCTTTTATATAACTAACATAAAATAATGAAATAAGACTGCAGAATTGAACTGTAAATATCCAAAGCTTATAGAGTAACTGGTTGAGTCAACTTTAGCGTCGTTTGATATCAATTAAAAAGCTTACCATTGTCATCAATGTCTGCCAAAAACTCAATATTCTTGCCACATGATCCACAAAATTTAACAACATTTCTCAGGTTATGGCCACAATATGGACAAAACATGGCTCCCTGGAAGAACAAAAAACATTTTTCCTTTAAAATGGAGAATATAAACAGCAACCAACAGCCTTGAGCTAACATTTCATTCACAAACTGACGCCATTCCAACAGATGAATTAAAGTTATCAACGTTAACTTAACAAATACAGTTTTTAGCGTTAAGTAAAACGCAACACAAATGCTCTAATATTTAGTTCATTTACCTCCTTCGACCATGGATGTATTACCTTAGCATGCTTTACTACTCGTTCCAAACCAGCTGTTGGAACTTCCTCGTCCGTGTAGCCACTGGGCCACATGAGCTCACCGCGCCCCCAAGCGTCGTGGAGCACTTCCGGTTTGGGATCGTCTACTTGCAGCGCATTTTCACTTTGTTTCTGCTTTTTCTTTTGTATGCGTTTTTTTAATTTGCAGCGCATTTTCACTTTGTTTCTGCTTTTTCTTTTGTATGCGTTTTTGAATTTGCAGCGCATTTTCATTTTGTTTCTGCTTTTTCTTTTGTATGCGTTTTTGAATTTGCAGCGCATTTTCACTTTGTTTCTGCTTTTTCTTTTGTATGCGTTTTTGAATTTGCAGCG